TTACAGGTATGTGCCACCATGCCCAGCTGATTTTTTGTATTTTTAGTAGAGATGGGGTTTCACCATGTTGACCAGTATGGTCTCGATCTCTTGACTTCGTGATCCACCCACCTCGGCCTCCCAAAGTGCTGGGATTACAGGCTTGAGCCACCGCGCCCGGCCAGCATTTGCAGATTCTACAAATCAGACATAGCACTTTTTTTTGAGACAGAGTTCAACTGAAATAAACCCTCATCAGTATCACAAATTTAGTGAGATTTCCTTCTGGACAGCTGTAATCCTCCAACTCTTGTTTTTTTTTTTGAGATGGAGTTTCTCTCTTGTCGCCCAGGCTGGAGTATAATGGCTCAATCTTGGCTCACTGCAATCTGCCTCCTAGTTCAAGTGATTCTCCTGCCTCAGTCTCCTGAGTAGCAGGGATTACAGGCACCCGCCACCATGGCCAGCTAATTTTTGTATTTTTAGTAGAGACAGGGTTTCATTATGTTGGCCACGCTGGTCTCGAACCCCTGACCTCAGGTGATCCACTTGTCTAGGCCTCCCAAAGTGCTGGGATTACAGCCACCATGCCCAGCTTCAAATCTTGAATATTTTGCTCAGTTGATGGATAAACATCATAGTTTACAGGTCTGCACAAGTCAAACTTTATAAAGAGAAAAGCACTGAAATAATAAGCTGATGCAGCATAGCCCTATCCAGTGACAGACATCATGCAAACAAGTTTCTTTGGTCACGGGGGGCATTGCAAAAAAGGGTGCAGCCAGCTTAATGCAAACAAGTACATTTTATTTTATTTTTATTTTTAGAGACGATCTGCTATGTTGCCTAGGTTGGTCTCGAACTCCTGGGCTTAAACAATACTCTCACCTAGGCCTTCCAAATTGCTGGGATTACAGGCATGAGCCATGGAATCTGGCCAAATACATTTTCATTTCTTGAAAAAATTCAAAACATATCCATAAAGTCATGTCATATATAAAGAAAAATAAGTTGTTAGAAAACATGTTTTTTGGCCAGGCGTAGTGGCTCACGCCTGTAATCCAAGCACTTTGGAGGCCAAGGCGGGCGGATCACCTGAGGTTGGGAGTTCAAGACCAGCCTGACCAACGTGGTGAAACCCTGTCTTTAAAAAAAAAAAAAA